TGATCTTGTTGCTTCTGTATTTGCAACCTCGCAGAGAAGCACTACAATTTGCAAGACAATATATTCTCAGCTTACTCTACTAAGACTTCTTCAAATGGAGGCCATCGCTATTAGGTTGGAGGTCATCGCTTCTAGGTTGGAGGCCATTCCAATTAGGTTGGAGGCCATCGCTATTAGGATGGAGGCAATTCTACGGAGTTCCAAATTCAAATCTCAATGGCAGGTCCTGCAGCCCGCCTACTCCACTTTCTTCCTGTGCGGGTGAATTCAGACGTGGTCATCTGAATCTGTGGTCTATGAAAAGCATGCTTGCTTGTGCAAATCAGAACCCATGACTTGTGGCAAATCCGAGCTCCTGCCTTCAAGCACTTTGGAAAGGGGGACAAGTCTTTCGGTGCTTTTGAGGTATCTCCCGCAAACATCGTCATTACAGCTGCCTGCCGCGCCAAAATACTCAATCTGTGGTTGAAACATGTTGAAACGGAAACATCTCCACTTGCAAGCCTAAGCATTGATGAAGCCCACCTGATTGTTGGTGTCTATGATGCCTAGATGAGAGCTAGGTGGGGTGGTGTAGCCAATCCAACCGTCGAATGCTCCAAGCGTTTGAAGGCTCTTAAGCTCCTCAAATGCAAACAATCCAACCACTGCCTTCGAGTGCAAGTCTGCTTGGTTGTCACTAGAATTAAAGTCTATACAATTAAAAAACAATGAATGTAATCGTTGCAGCACCTGTGGTGTCCAAGACAGGTCTAACCGAGTTATGTAAAATGTTACATGATTGTTCAACCATACCCATCCTGAGCTTCTTTGATCTCAGTGGGCCATGTAGCCCAAGCAGTTTCTGCCTCAAACAAACCGGTTTTGTGAGACGTCTTGGAGACAGCTGCCTTTGTGTGACGCGGAAGAGGGTGTCATGCGTTTGATCCAAACAGCTGAGGCCACTGCCAGTGCCATGTACCACGCAACGTCTGTCTCAGATCTTCTGGAATCCAGATCAACTGGCAATAAGAGCGGCCGCTGAAATGACTTTTGCTCCTGCAACCATGGGTGTTGAAATGTGCCGATGCAAGCATGCAAGCAGAATGATGAATGGAAGAAAGGAGACATTGTGGGTGTGCAAGGCTTTAAGACTTAGTGGCAAATGTCGGAGGTTCAGTTTTGCTGGAGACCCTGGAGTCTAATCTTGTGACACTTGAAGCCGTAAGAGTAACACCAGAGTAATCTCTGCAGATGTTATACAGGCCCTGTGCATTCATGCAGGATCTCACTGGATTGGCAGTATCAGCACCGCAGTTTGAAGGTTCAACCCAAGACTGCGGAGCTCAGAGGTTTTGTGAAAATGCCAAAAACTCAGCAAGTGGTGCGTTGCATGCATACTTGGCACACATGATTGCTAAGTCACAACCTTGACCCTTTTTTTGCAGTATACAAATGCCTGTGACCAGCCGAGCAGCTCGCTGTATTTCTGAACAGTTTGCACCGCCAAGGTATCTGGCCTTGCGTCATATCACAGCCGGGGTGAACTGCCTGGATTGCAAGTTGTCGGAATTCGAACCTGCCGGATCTGATGCCAGTATTTGCTTCGAGTTCAAGTCATATTTATCTCGGTGCACCGTGTGTTGCGTGGGACAGAACTTGCAAGCAGCCATGGCGTGGCCATCGAGAAAGCCCAATGCACACGCTCCCATTTAAAGCTGCTCAGAGAGGAATTTGATTGGGAACACCGTGCAAAAGCGATGCAAACATGTTACTAATGCATGTCCACGTATTCCACCAGAACAGTTACAGTAAACCAACAGTAGAAATTAGAAATGTATAAAATTAAGACCTCACTGCGCGGCCGTTTTTTCACTCCGAAATGTGGCCTTTTTTTTGAAAGGGCCCCAGAAAGCATTGCACCTCAAGCGTGATCACTTGACAAAATATTGCATCATGAGACGCGGACGTTCCAAATGAAGCACATCCATCCAGTCCTCCTGCCATTCTCTCCTGTAGTGGCCTCTCCTCAGAGCTGTCACCATGGAGAAGTAGACCTGGCGCCTAGTCCAAATCAAGTCACTTTGTCCGTGAAACACCATTGCTGATGACTATGAACACCGGCCTGGCATCATCTCCTTGCCAAGAGTCCTTTCAGGATATCAATGGAGATCAAATGCGGGTCAAGTATACAGTTTACGAATATACAAACGCAATCAAACGCAAAGCGCCTGTCTAGGGAATAGTCCTGTTTGAGCCTTCAAGCTGCTCCCCCCCCAATTCCAAAAGGCCTTGTATACACTGTTCCGATGATACGTCTCTGGCTTGTCACAAGCAAGTCTAGTCTAGTGAGAATGCAAATCGCTGCAGCCCGTCCGAGGGAGTCGTGGCAATAGTTTCATTCAACGCCAGGCCAAAGTTCACCGTCCATGCCAGAATCGGATCTGTACTTTGCACCTGCAATTGGTTTGTCGAGCCGCAATGAACTTGGCAAAAAATTGACTGGTGTCTTGGTTGGGGACTGAGCTGCGAGTCTGAGGCTGGAACACTGAGCAAAAGGTTGTCAAAATGTTTGAGCATTTCTTTCTCCCGCTCCAAAGAGTCTCGCTTCAACCATTCTTCCTGCGACAGGCTTTTGATCATTATCTGGGAGAGTCTTGTTGAGAAGTCTTCGTGACTATTGTTACAACTACTTTATTGCCATAGTATCACCATCACCATCATGTATCTTAATCAAATGTTGGGTGGATTGTGTCTGCATGTCAGCAGCAAGCACACCACCATCAGAATGTGTTGAGGGTGTAGGACTGAGGCTGGGGTCTCAAATGTATCCAAGATCAGTGATCAGTCACTGTTGTCGGCAAGGAATGTGCAAATTCTTCAGATGGATCATGCTGGAGAGTTGACGTTTCTGATTCTGCAACATCGCACCTGAAAAAAGTACTTGAGGTCAAAGGTCGGAACGACAAAAAGACCGAAACTCCTCACACCAGCAGTGTTTTTGCAAGCCGGAGCACTGGGCCTTTTGGAAGCGAATTAGCTAGACAAACACTTCAAAAAGGCCTGCAAAGCTCCAGGAAGATGTTGTGATTCTCCTTGCATAAAGGGCTCACGAGGCTTGAAGGACTCGAGGTTTCAATTGGACAGTCCTTCGCATTCCACGGTTCCAGCACCACAGCGTTCGCGTGAAGCACCTTTGCTATAAGGTACAGATCGCGTTTGTGCAGGTTTTGGAAGGTCGCCGTGTAGACGTCCTGCAGCGCGTCCCTCACAATGCACAAAAAAAACAAAGCACTGGCATCAGCCAAACAGGCAAAAACCCACTTTGCAATAAACAGTCCTTGTCACCAGATGAGACGCCGATCGGCCGTGGCACGTAATAGACAGCCCGCACATCAATGGCTTGCAAGTCTAGGCAAGTAATTTCCAGAGCAACATCAAGTACAAGATCCGCACGACCAAAAACTACTAGGTTGGAGGCCATCGCTATTAGGCTGGAGGCCATCGCTATTAGGGTGGAGGTCATCGCTAGTAGGTTGGAGGCCATCAAAATGTGTGTGGAACCACAAGATCCGCACGTTCAAAAACAACAGAGCCACACAAACCTTTTGTTTGGCCAACAAGGCGCTCCCCTTTGACGCTGATCCTGTCAGCCTACCATGAGGGCAGCCCTCCTGTCAGTCTCCATGTGCTGGTAAGGAATCAATTTCACAAAATTCCATTCCATTCTGCATGAAATATTTGAGATTCAAAATGACTGCAACAGTACAGCTGCAAGGACACGTTGTCTACTGTAGGTGTCAGTCCTGGTCGGCCACTGGAACGTAGAATGTCGGACAGCTTGTATCATGAGCAAATTGAATGAGGGACTGTCAGACAGCAGTGCGTGCTCGGGGCTTCAAAACTATGCTACGCCACAAGTACAGTATCCTCCAGCTGTCCCAGCAATAAAGCATATGATATATGTCTTACACTACGTCGTGACTATATCAGATCAATTCTATCAGCGCTTTTTGAAATACTGATTCCTTGACTTTGCATCCCTCCTCCTTTCCTCCCTCTGCATTTCGTGTGAACTTTTGAACTGCAATCTCTGGCCTGCCCCTCCGATTCGACATGTGGACATGGCGATCCAGCAGCGGTGCCACAGGACAGAATGCAAAGCCACAGGAAGCCTCGGCGAGAGCCTCTAGAAGGGCACATCCTGCGAGAGGCACTCACATTGCGACTCTGCTTCTCACCAATGCGACACTCTGCGTGTCATACTCAGACTGTACATAGACGTGCAAAGCCATATCAGTCCAGTTTATGAAGCCAGCTCCATCATGAGCCTCGTGCCGTGGCGCTGAATTAAAGAACTTTAGGAGAACGGTCGCTGTACTTTTCACTGAGCTTCGCACACCTCATTGAGCCTAACGCTTTCAGCTCAAAACGCTTTCTGTCGCTTTACTTACAGTCACTTATTCTCGTCTGTATTCTTGAGAATGTCAAATTCCTCGAATATGTCTGAAGAAAAATGAAGAAAGAATGTGCTGCTGTTTGCTGCTGTTCTGTAAGATCGAGGTAAGAATTATATGGAGAAGGGACGGGACCTATGAACAAACAACAGTTGGGGTTGTAAGCAAATGTACAAAATACAATCAACTGTCCTGCAGCGGTCAACAGTAGTGTGGTATCGTAATTGGGCTTCTCGCATGTCACGTACACATCTAAAATCATCTGATGAGCCACGTGCACGCCATTCAAAGGCCGTTGGAGAACTTGCCAAAGAGTGTTGAGAAGCAAAACAAGCTGGGATGAATGGCTTCGTTTCACATTTTTTCTAAACGCCAGCGGTTGGAGGCGCAGGCTTTGGAGCCGGGCCGCTGAGACCTGCGATCCAAAGTATGCACTGTGCTGTCGTTCTTTGCTGCAGGTTTTGTGCAAAAAGCACTTCAATCCATCCTTGACTGCACAAACACACAGAAGCTGCCATGATCCAACAAGGTTTGAAGCTAGCTGCATTGCTCCCAAGCTCTCTCTTTGCATTGAGTAAGGCAAGGTCTGGTCCAAGCTTGTGTGGATCTGCAAGCACTACAGAAGAAACCCCTGTCGGGCCGCTAGAAATCTGATGGTCAAGAAGAGGCAAATCACCTCGCAATGTGGCTGAATATGTGGCATGAGTAGAATTGCACGCGTTTCTTCTTGTAAGCCACACAGCTCACGTGCAGGCTTCGTGTGTACACTTTGCCTCCAAATTGCATCCCTTGAACTGCAAGGCTGCTGGGACATCTAAATCTAGACTAGTGCCTTGGCACCTTTCTACGAGGCTACAAAATATAGACAAGTGCACGCACAGTATTTGTATGCTGCGTTCTTGCCAAGTCCCCAGCCACACAGACGGTGATCAAAAGGGCTATACGAAATGCCACATCCTTGCAGCACTCAATCCGAGGGAGGGAAGGAGTTGCAAAACTTTGCTAAAGCATCTTAAGCTTGATGTTGAAGCCGAAAGGCATGTAAGCATGACCCTGGGACTGTAGAAGGTTCAAGTGTCTGAGAGCCTCTCTGATGACTCGTATCCGCTCACGAGATTCATGCCCATTGCCCCTGGCACACTATCATCTATAGGCATTGACATCGATGCGCCAACACACCAACTCGAGAATCTAGTGATCTAGTGGCACTGAGGGTGCAGCCAGGTACAATTCCACCTGCTGCAATGGATACCGAAGCAATAACCTGCGCACTACGAACATGCACGCCCCAGTGCGCAAATGTTGGTTTGACACATTAGTGAGTGTCCATGAATTGTGTCTTTGGGGGACTCGAATCTTCTGTCTCTGCCTTGTAATCATTTCATGTCTGAGTCAAGTGACAAATACTTTAGCAGCAACGAAAGAGCCGACTCAAGTCCCAAGTATACAGCAAATCTACTCGTGGAATGTGGAGGCCAAGTCAAATCACTCAAGAGCGCACCAGGCTCAGCTCAAATTGCTCCACCCGCAGTCGCCTAGCCTGGCCAAGAAACAAATTTTCGCACAAGTTTGGCGAAGTAGTTTAAACCCTTTGTTTGGCACAAGCAATCATGATAACTTATAACCGCAAGCATAACAAGCACATTCGCACGCCTGGAGTGCCAAACTTGCTGAGCCTTCAAAGTCCTCCAATACTCTAAAGATATTGTAGAAATCTGCAAAATCTTCGAGAAGGCTCGTACTGAATTGTACTGCTTCCAGCCTGTCCTCGATATCTTGGAGCAGGGAGGTGCATTGCCTGGATAGCTCACTGTATGCCTGGAGGCCAAGCTTTGAAACAAATCCTTCGCTGATAACTGACAACCAGTTCAAAACAAAAGAGCAAAGTAAACTAAGTCAGATTGGATCACCTTTTGTTGAGCTTTCACACATTGGCAGGTTTGGGTCACATGTCCATCCGTCGTTTGTAGTTGTGCATGCACGCTTGCGTGTGTGAGTTCACGCGTATGCGACTTGCACCGCCTGAAGGTACGACTCCAGTAAGGCCTCCCACTCATCATGTGAAGCCTAAGAGAACTCCAACCCGCTATCAGCCGCTATCATGCCCATTCTACTAGGAGCAAGGACGCTACTAGGAGCAAAGGGCATCGCTACTGGGAGCAAGGACGCTACTAGGTGCCTACATACAATTGCCAACTGCAGAAATGGATCGGGATATTTGCATATTTAGCGTCTGGCAGGATCGGTGTCACCGGCGGCCAAAAGCTTCGCCTCTGGTTGCTTTTGTTCGAAGAGCACAGTGAGGCACTTGCAAACCTATTTTTCATTATTTTTGAAAGTCCTATCTTTTTTAGAGGGGGGAGACCGCTAAGAGGTAGCTAGTAGCTTAAGTAGCTACTACTTAGTTACTACTTTGGACGCAGGACAGCTCACGGCCCTAAAGGTGGCGGGGGAAGCTTCCTTGAAGAAGCGCTCACACTAATGATTTGGTGTCTAGATTTTTAGGGAAACTTGACATTAGAAGCTACTACCTAACACCAATCTCCAGGAAAAAAATCGTTTGCCTCGTCCCCATCTAGTCGGGAAAGCAATGCAGATGACCTCGGCAGATCCAAGTTCTTGCAGGCTCTAAGCTTGCAAACATCCTCCAATTCTCCAGCTAAACTTGTATACAGCCACTCCACTTGGACGTCAGGCACTGCAGAGGCTTGGCCTTAGCAACAATCAATGATGGGGCTTTCTCGACCCCTGAGTTTATGACGTGTCAAAGGCTGTCGCTGAGGCCTGCATGGGAATATTGGTTCCTAGACAGCGGCTGGGAAGTCTCAACCTCACCTAAATAAGTGTGAAGAATAGCAAGTCTCCAATCACACTGGCAGTACTTTCTGTGTGACCTTATTTGTGGAGAGACAAGGAACCAAAAACAAATACCAAATTCAAGCCAACCAGATGTATAGTAAGTAGATGAAAATGTCAAAAGCGACTGCGCAATGCAATGATGAAGGATGATGAAGGGAAGAGTGGTCTGGCAACTGCAATCAGAGCCAAACATCAGAGTTTTCAATGGTTGGATCAGGATATCATGTTCACATACCAAGTTCCCTTCCCTGTCTCTTTACGCCCTGTTCCGGGGCTTCTCCCTACTCAATTCTGTGTTGAACGGCCCATCCCATAAGGGTCCGGCTGGCACATCGTACCAGTGTGCGCCGGAGTTGGCGAACCTTCGAACAAAAACCAGGTTGAATTCTCGAACAAATGCTTCACGGAATGCCTCCTCCAAGTCAGGCCTCGGTAAACTTAAAAGTTAAAAAGGAATCCAGAGGTCAACATCTGCTAAGTCGATGTTTCGTTTATGGGTCGCCCAGCTCCCGCAAGACCGGTGGCGCCCGCAACTTTGGCTCGGTGCGCTTTCGGATCTCAAACAGCCTTCCAAATCAACTTAAAATACGTGGTTGTGCAGGAAGTCAGACAGAATACCAATTCACACTGGAGCAACACGTGTGGTCAACCCACGAAGCAACCAATATGCTACCAGTGCCTGGAGGCGAGGTTCCGGCTCAGCGCCAACAAGGCGCTCTCAACAAAGACCATCCTAGGTGAAAGGCAACGATAAAGCATGTAGCCAACTGTGACTTTCTTTTAGCCCAACACCGGAAGCTGCTTGCTTGCGACATGCCTGCTGATGCCAATGGGCAATAAGCGCTGTATGTTGTATGTAGTGCTGTGCGAGGTGCAGAATGTGACCACTGTCCGACATCTGTCATGCGTCTCTGCACCCCAATTGAAGCACAAACAAAGGTTTGGCCTGCGCCCTCTGCTAAAGCCCGTTTCTGATTCTCCAGCACACGCAAGAATCGGATCTGATCCTCATGAAGCGGCAAATCAAGGAGACATGGGTTCCTTGGCCTGGAGGAAACACATCTTGAAATCTCTGCGTGTCTATCTGTCCGTGTCTGTGTCACTGAAGGAAAACTCCGGTCAACAAGGTAAATCACATGCAGGACGTGCTGACATCATCTGCTGTTTGCATTGACCCTTTCTCGGTCTTTCGACAAAGTGTCTGGCACGGCTTCGAGGCCCAAAAAGCAAGGCACGAGCCTGAGGTCAAAAAGTTTTCTGTTCCACGATTGCACAACACTTCGACTATGAAAAATGTTTCAAGTATGCCTCCTCCACCACTGCACGCACGTCGCCCAGTCCTATGAGGAGACCACTACGCCTCTCATGTCAGGCCATTCTTGGCAAAGTGATCAAACATTATAGGCAAATCAGACTCAGACTGCTTCAACATCGTAGCCACAAAAGATTTTTATCACATCATTGATGGGTGAAACTAATAATGCCTAAGACATTGCGTGCATCAGCTGCATCGGTATTGTCACTAGAGAGTTCATTTTGTTGCAGCTGCTCACATCACGCAAGTGAAAAAACAGATCCGCCCGCGCCGAAGGCGTCGAGGTGTTGTGGAGGCTTCGCATAAACCGCAAGAGTGCTGCTGGATTAATCGGCGCGATAAGCTTTAGCTTGGGGGGTGCCCTTCCATGTTCCGAAAACGGTGGCTTTGTGAGGGCTTTTGATGTTTTTGAAGATTGATAAATATTGATATGATTTTGGACCAAACGTTCGCGATGCCGGTTATGCTGTCTAGGGAAGGCTGCTTTATCGACATCGCGGACATTCAGGTAGGCTGCCCACAGAAGTTTCTTCTTAAGGAAAGAGGTGATTGATATCGCGCGCATCCGGAGCAGCACGCCGTTCTTTTTTTCGAGACAGCGGAGCTGCTCAGGATGATCGCCAGCGTTGCACCTGATCGGGCGGGCAGCTGCGCGTTCTTTGGCTAGCACCGAGTGATCGGAATGCTGAGACCTAGCACCCACTTTGCTTCATTTGTTTCTGCGTCAGGCCGTGGATCCTCACTGTCTGAGCTCACTGCGCTGACAGCAAAGCACTGCGCTGGGCGGCGCCAAAACCATCTTGACCCCCGGAAAAACTCTGCGCGAAACCTTTCTTGACTATCCCCCTGCACGTACCACACACGCCCCCTATCCAACATCCCATCAACCATCAGGGCGCTACTCTCGGCTCCGAGAGCACAAGTTCCCAAACACTACTCTCGTACATCCTGCAACCCTCTTACACCGTCTGTGTCTTCCAATCCAATTCCCACTGGGTTCCCTGACTGTTCAGCTTGACACCTTAGCAATCACAGACATCTCTCTTTTGCTCCATATGCCCCCCCCGTGTTCGGGAGTTGTCTTTCTAGCTGTGTCTCTTTGGTTCTGTGCAGGATTGGAGCGCTGAGGCCGTGACCGCGTGTGCGTCTGATATCTTTCTTTTGCCTCACTCACGTTCTCCGCGCAACCTCCGCTGAGCCCCTTGCTAATCGCCGCCACATCCATCACGTTGCCCATCGCTGCAGCCAACCAGACTCTACCAGTATACTCAGGGTGCCCAGATAAAACTAAACTATCAAGTTCCCCCATCGTTGCTGCTTCCCGACCCACTACGCTAGTGGCCTCCTAAACTAAAGCACCCCTCGGTGTTTCCTCACTCGCTTGAGCCCAGTTATCATCTCCTCCCGGCTGCGAGAGCACAAGTTGCTCCTTCACGGCTCCGAGAGCGCAAGTTGCTGCCGGATTACTTGTCTTACGACCATCTATTGCGCTGGGTCGATGTTGTGTGTCAACAGATTGCAAAACCCATTTCCTTGCTGATCACAGCGGGAAAATCAGCTTAATGGCTTGATATGGCTTGGATGGCACAGTGCCAGTGGCGCAATCAAGCTCGGCTCGATGTGGCTGCGCATAGGCGGAGGTGTCCGTGGGGAGGACTCTTGGACGTGTGCCTGCTTTGTCTTGACGAAGCCCGCTGCGTGCGCGGCCGTCAGTTTGACGCCAACGCCGAAGGGGATAGAGTGGCGAAGTGCCTCCGACAGACAGTCGGGAGCGTACACGTCTTACAGCGCACGCGCCTTACTTGAGAACGGAACCTTTGGCAGAGACCGGCCGAAATGGTTCTGAGGTATCAGGAGCTCAACTCTTACCAGAAGTCTATGATCAACAAGCTGCATACACGTATCTCATTATTTTCGACCTGAAGTTCAGCACCGTGACGTACGACTGGCGGCGGCCAGAAGCAGATGAGGTGGAGGTGCAACCGTGTACTGGCACAACAAGATCAAGGCTTGTGCCAACTGGGTGTCTGCACCCCTTCGCGCCCCAAGAAGGCCAGAAAGGTCGTTTCAACGCTTCTTGAACAAGTTGACCCAGCAGAATGCACGGGGAATGATGAGACAAAGCTAAGCCATGATGGCCGTGTCATCTGGTTGATTGACCAGTCCTTTACAGAGAAAGGCCCTTCCAAGATTCAAAAGAGTTCCCAAGCGCACAGGCATGTCCTGCCAAGGACTTCGAAAGGATGTCCTCTAAGTCGGAGAAGCTGGGAGATCGATTTTTCCGCTCATCGATATTGCACATCACGTGCACAGGTGGCCTGATTGATACAGAAATACAGAATGCAATGACAATTTGCTGGGAGCCCTGCAAGCCCAAAGAGTCGGAGGATGAGGAGCTCAGCAGACACTTCAAGAGCTCTTTGTGAGGCGGCCACAAGACATCCGCCTTTCCTGAAAACTGTGCATGCTTGATTTGTGGAAAAACTTGTCCTGATAGTCCACGCCTTCCATCTACCATGTCACTCAAGCGATTGTTGCAAGGGGATACGCAGGGAAACTGCAAGAACCCTGTGTGAAAAGGCTGGTGATTTGATAGGGCCATAGCGACCAGTCAACGCTTCTTCACGCTTGAACCGGGTTAACATTCCTCCCGGCTCCGCGAGCACAAGTTGCTACTGCCCGTATCCTCGTGGGGTGCTAATGACACAGTTTCACTTTAATCTGTGCGGGCAGCTTCTACCGCGAAGCGGTGTGAATACATTGGCCACAAGGCTGCAAAAGCAGTAGTATAAATTGAGTCAACCTGGTGTTTCCCAGCTTGCGCCTGCTGGAAAGCCTCGGCTAATAACGTTGGTGGAGCACGCAAAGTGTTGACTTGTATATATAAGTGTGTGTGCAGTGCGGTCAAAACTCCTGGTATAATCTCCTGTCACCACATACATTTCGACAGGGTTGCACAACTCTAGACTTCAGCTTGGAGGGAAGGGAGGCATTCCGGCATTCCTTTCTTTTAGTTTGTAAGGACGTGCTTCAACCACACAAGTGGTAAAAAATCTCTTGTGGGAAGGCCCCATCGCTTCCGTAGGTCAAGGTGTCTTTTGTAAATCCTTAAGATTGAAGGCAGGTCTTCTCTTCATACCGTACTTCAACGGGTTGCCGGCATAGTGCCGTTTTGTGTAGCAGTGTAGCACAAGCACTGTCTTTTCTCTGAGCCAGGGGGCATTGGGCCAGCGTCAGAGTCCTTCAGCGGCACCTGAAAGTCATCTAATGCATTTTCAAGAAAGGCTTGCAAACTTGTTCAAATTCAACTCCAAGCAATGATCTCATAATGTGGCTCTGGCAGAGACAGCCCGGAGATCTCGTGGCCTCTGCATGCTGAGCTGTTCTTTTCGGTTTGAAATCATGTTGGCTTGATGGGGCCTAAGACCTGTCTCGGTCAGAAGCTTGCTGCGGGTGATAGTCATCGAGCCTGGCAAGCCCCATAGCTATATATACTTCTGAGAATCATTACTTCACTCTTTGAGCAACCTGACAAATCAAGAGAACATGCCAGATCTGCTCACACGGCCTTCAGCAGTTACTTCAGTGACAGCATATGTAAAGTCACCAGGACGTGCCAGGAAGCGCGAGACTTCAGCAGCCTCTGTAGAAATAAATTCTGCAGACGGGTCCTCATGGAGTGATGGCATTTTCTTGCCAAAAAAAACTTGGACCAAGCATCAAAATTTCCTTCAAACAACAACTCGTCCTCCTTCATTGACGTGCTGCCATTTGAGCTTGCATCCACATCTACTGTGCAGCCAGTATCATCACAGCCAAAGTCTGCCAACCCAGCTAAATCGGAGAGGAGTTCGGGCTTTTCTGAGGCCAACCGTGCTGAATCTCGCGTTGGACGGAGCAGAAGCTGACCACTTAGCCGACTCAGTCGCCAGGTCGTGGCTGCAGTGGCAGAAACACCGCAAAAAGCCCGCCCATATCGGGCTTGTCCCCGACAGGGCTTCGCTGGCGGGCTGTGACGCAACTGCCAGGCAGATGGGGCTGGAATCATGCCACATGGCCAATTTCCGGCAAAACACCAGATTTGTCGTGCAGTTGACTATTGGTCTTCTCCAGGTTTACCAAATGGATGCTGTGCACGCATGTGGATACGGATACTCAGCATTCAAAGTTCAATTCTGTTGATTCTTGTTGTTTGTGTCATTTTGTGGCCTTCTGATGTTCGCAGTCTGGAACTGTGTGCATGTTCAGAGCCATGCACTTTTCGCCAGGTTACCTGAACTGCAGATATATATATATATATCTGAACTGCGGGTAGCTGCTCAACTGCGGCGCTGCTACAATGCATGGGAAATCTGAGACAATTGTCTAAACTTGCTCTTTCTCTGCTACGTTGCGACTGACTGGCATCTTCGGTGACACTTATCACTTAGACTGCATGACCACAAGTACATGTTGGTTCTGCTCTAGGAAAGCAAATGTTGACATGCGTTTGTCATTGCTGAACCCTTTGCCTGAGATGATCATTCTCCTCGGTATGCGAGCAAATCCACATCAAATCTCTTCCGCGCTGTCCAACCAATCTTCAGGTCTCAGGTCACACATGAAGGCTTCAAGTCCACATCAAATGCTCTTCGCCCCAAAAAGCCGGTTTCTCACCGCCGCCAAGTTTCATTGCCGCGCTGCGGGCAATGCGAGTGCCCTCCAAGTGCCTTGTGTTCCGTTCCAGGTGCTCCTGCATGCACAAAAGAGCTGAATTCTGAATCAGAATACACCAAGAAGAGAAACATCTGTACTTCTTGCAAGTTGCAGGTGATAGTTGTACCCATCAATCCAGAGCTCATTGATCAACCGAGTGAGAGAAACAAGAAAGAATGTATTCATATTGATTGAAAATAACAAGCTTCCAAAAAAAACTTCGGAATATTATCTCCTTAAAGAATCCAAGCTCTCTAATGGTATCTGGATGAAGTGCTCGCCACTCCTGAGAAAGCTACAGCAAAAACACACGTTATTTAAAATGCAGGCAGTTAAGCAATACCTTATATTTAAAACGTATATACGCAAAATGCATCAGTCAATAGCTGCCCTGCCAATAGCTCAGCGCCAATCCTCCGCCTGAATCTCCAGCAGCTGCTTGGCAGCCTGATCGAATCTGATAATCTATGGCAAGCTAGTCTCATATGCTGCTTTGAGACATTTAAAACTTGGAAGAGAGATTGCCTTGTTGGCTGGAGAAAACATTATGACAAAGAAGCAACTCGTAAGTTAATGTAAATTACCTAATAATCCCAATTCCTAGTTGGAAATGTCTGGGTGGACCGAAGCCCGTCCGCCTCAGGTCCAGGAAGCTCGCCTAAGAGGAAGGGAGTTCGGTAGCTTCAGAAGTTAGTTTAGCAGGGCGAGAAGTTACAAAAAAGAATATATATATATATACATATTGTCATGCTGTCCGACACAGTAGAATCAGTGGAGCAAAGGGTTCTTCAAGGAACCCTCGCTGGAAAGTGGCCAAGTCTTGCAAATGCCACGCACAGCCTGGAAGTCAGTCAAGCACAAATCCAACTTTAGTCTTGCGCATGTTGTCCCCACTCAAAACAAACAAGCACAACAATGAAACATGAAATCTCTTTGACCAACAACGTCCACCTTCGCAGAGCACAATAGCTTCGCCACCTCTGCAACCTGCCTGGAATGTGCGTGCTTGCACTTTGCACAAAGGGTTCTCCCACTTTATAAAGTTCTCCACTGAGAATCCTTCCGCAAAGCTTGCAATTGAAGGTATGCCGTGCTGCCCTTTTCTTTGTCTGCCGAGACTGGTCTACCGCCTCTTGAGATGCCCAAGCTGAGCCCTCAGCGTTCTCTCGATATTTGGCATCTCATCTTCAAAGCCACTGTCCCAGGAGGTCACCCAATTGTGAAAATCCTCTCGAACCTCTTCTCTCAACTCTCGGGCGGCATCTTTGGTCAACCCTTTCACTTCTTGAAGCACTACTTTCATACGCTTCTCAATGCTGCTTTCGACATGACTTTGCATGTCCTGATCGAAATTTTTCAAGAAGACTTCAATGTCTGCAAGCCTCTGTTCTAGCCGAACAGACTCCCCTAAACCGAGCTCTAGGCTGCTCATCTTGTCCCCCAGCTTCTGCCGGAAGCGCTCATGATCAATTTTCATTTCTTCCGAAAGTGCACGATCCTCTTGGCGCAGCTCTGCAATGGTCTCCAAGGCAACTTGCATCGACTGCATCCGCCTTTGAAGATTTTCGACCGATCGTCGTTGCTCCACATCCTGCTGTCGATGTCCTCTCTCCTCAGCTGCACATCGGCGGTCCACGGCACTGAGAGAAGAAGTAAGCTCCTGCAGTTCAACTTGCGCTTTGCTGATGTCAACAACCTGGTCAGCTAGATCATTGCAACGCTTCTCTACGGCCACAAAGACTTTCTCACAAGACTCTTTTAAGTCCTTTTCTAGTCTCATTTTGGCCTCAGGATCACCTCTGAATTGCAAATGCTGGCGTTCCTCCTCCCGCATGCGCTCAAGGCTTTCATTCCTTCCCGATTCTAAATCTGACAGGGACTTGCTGATGCTTTCCAGGCGAGATTCCAGCAAAGCCTGGGCACTCCGACATTGGCCTTCCCAAATGCTAGCAGCAGAGCTGGTGGATGCAACCTCCAAACCAAATTTGTTGAATTTTGAATTGGCTTTCTCCCATTGCGACTCAAGGCGCTGCATGGTTAATTGAATCGATTGAACATCTCTGACAATACTCGAAAACTCTTCATCACGAGATTGGTCCGAAGACTCTTTGCTCTTCAGGCGAAGCTCCATGGAAGTGAAGCGTTCATTCCAGCGATCATTCAACTCTTTCAGCTCACGGTATTCGCTCTCTCGATTTCTGTCCAGAAAGCGCTCTTGTTGTTCGGCCAGGCGGCGGACATCTGCTTCCAAGTGTCGCCTAGCCTCTTCAGACTCATGCAAAGCTGCTGCAGTGATTCGTGAAGCTTCTGCACCTTGCTGGCATGTGGTAGCCACCCAATCTGAGAGGCTCTTGGTGGATGCCAAGACTCTCTGAACACGCTCATCCACAGCAGCTTCGATCCATCTTTGAGTGGCAGCGGATATCAACGCAGCCTCGTCAGGCCTCTCCAGTGATCTCATGATGCTGGTGAAACAGTAATGTACAAAATTTGAACCACTGTGGCAAGGACAGAGAGATATTACTTTGAACCTCCAGCACAGGAAGCCTCAGAACTTCCACATATCAGCACAACTGATCTGCGAAACCTGCTCGGCTATTAGTTCAAAAGCTTATCATGCATCCAGGCATGCAGAACTTAGACTTTGAAGAACCTACATGCTAAACTTAAGCTGGTCTATCCCATTTTAGGCTGCGACCCATCCGCCACGACTGATGCTAGTGGGTAGTTCTAGTGCTAATGAGAAAATCACCTGCAGTTTCAGGCAGGTGATAAGCCGCAAAGCAGGAAAAGTACGAAGAGAATGACAGAGTGCGTATATAGTGACTCCAATGGTCGCGACTCCTAGATAACCTATTAAGAACTATATATATATATATAACAATTTGACAACAAATCCCCCAAAGGCTTTGGAAGAAGGCGAATGAAGTCTTAAACATCGGACGAATGCAGGCACAGGTACACCTGAATGTAGAGTAACAGCCATACCAAGGTCTTTGAAGGTGGACTAGCGAGTTGGAACGGTCTGCTCACTGCTGACTACAATTTTTGTTCCTAGTAGTAAGGCCAGGAGCCCCTAGTAGCGTCCTTGCTCCTAGTGGCTTATCTTCCTGTTCTGCTTATCGACCCAAGTCCTATTGCGGACCTTGAAGCGAGACTGATGCCTCCAAAGCGGTCAGGAAGCCAGGAAACAGGGGATTCATAATGATTCATATCTACACCGTGAGTTGACAGCATCCAGCCCAAAGCACCATCAAGTCATGCCAGGAATTCTCTGCTGATGAAGAAATTACCAAAGAGCATGCTTCAGCAGGGGGCTCCTACAGTCCGCAAGGCTTGGAAAATTTCGCCCCAAACACGATGCTTCCAGTAGTATGTAGCGAATTATGCAAAAAGGAAGTAAAAAGTTTCTAGCGAGAACTGGAAAAGCGCACGCAATATCTCAACGTATCTCGAGTCTCCCTCCTGCTGTGGATTGCGCTGCTCTCTGTCCAGAATGCCATCGGAGAACATTTTCCTCCTCAGATAGAGAAGAAATGATACTGGTCCAACAAACGTTGCAAGAAGCATCATGAATCAAATCCCGCTTGTACGTAACGTAGTAACGCCATATAGTCATAAACGGTAGTACGCACTAGCTTGGGTTTGTTGTGGCCTCTGCCACACAAACAAAGGATGTGTTGATCAGATCAGATCACACGGAAACTGTTCGCCGAACTGGTCCTTTCACTGTACCAGAAAGAGAGGACTGATTTTGCCTCAAGTTTGCACATAAGAATCGAGCCAAGGAGTCTTGGATGGAAGGTTCTCCTGTCAGCTGTCGTCTTGGATTGGTGTTTTTTGACAAGAAGCTCGCCGCTACTTAGAACCAACGACGGCAGGAGGCTCCAGAATGAAGATGCTTGATGTAGAAGCTAGTGTCCCCCCCGAAAGAAAAAAAGGCTTTGCTAAGAAATATACAGTATGTCAATGTCCTTCTCATCATCCTTCTCGGGCCCAATGGGAACCACCTTTGGCGAAGAAAACAGTTTGGCATGACTGATGTTCTCACAACTATCGGCCAAAACTTCAAGAAGTTCGCCCTTCGCACTATCAAAAGAAACATGACTGAAGTTTCCATGATGCGCCAGTCAAGGTTCAACATACTTGTGATTTCTGCACCAATGTGAGTTGTATCGATCTAAGCACATTTTGATCTGAGCTGCTTATCAATGATCTGTGGGCTGTAACATCGGCTAAAGATCTGTCGCGATCTGAGCTGAAACCATTTGAGTTGTACATGGATCTGAGTAGTAAATGCAACAGCTGTTGACCACCGATCTAAACCTCTATGTGGATCACATGAATACAACTGAGCTAAACTTGCATGGATCGAACTATATATTCGATATCCGCATCGACCTCAGCTGCAAACGACCGCGCCACCCACCAATCAGAGTCATTGCTTGATATGGGCCATTTGCTGTATTTGGCATGGTCTGAGCTATCTTCTGTGCTTCTACAGGAGAGTATACAATGCTCACGGACGGCAACCCAAACATCTTGGTCGCAGCAGGTACGCTCTGCTTCAGGTTCGAATATGTTCGAATTATCTGATGCCAAGATTCCTCGGAACACGTGATCTGAAAGCATTATGGCCCACAATCGTTGTGTATTTACAGGGCAAAGTGCCTGCACAGCGTGCAAACAGGAACTGTGCTGCAGTCTTAGTCTGAGTCTCAGATAGTACTGGAATATACACTAGATGGAGGGCAGCATGCAGCCACTTCAAGGTGGTGCACCTGCACGAGGTTAGAGTTGGGTGCAACATTGGTGTGCTCTAGCATGCGGCATGCGGCACGAATCTTAGTCATCCGGATCACCAGGCGTTACAATGGATTGCCAGAGTGTTACAAAACACAATTATACTGCCAGCACAAATGGCTCTCCACTCCTCAACAAGTAACTGCAAATATTATCAATCACTGTCAATCACTCTTACCAATTTGCAGATCGCCACAAGTTTCCGGTGTTCAACTTTGACCACGATATGAATATCACCAGAGTGCACACGCCACGCCAAGGCGATTTTGAGAGGTCCTTTTATGAAGGGAGGGTAGGCCGGTGAGAGGCTAGCAAGTAGTTAGGTTGAGGAAGTTCGTAGCAAGGAAGCTCCTAGCTTGGACACAAAAGAGTTCAGGCTTGCATGATTGATTTGGTTACCAGATTTGGGGGCGAACTTAACATGACTTCTTCATGTTTGCCACACTACGTCCCAGCATTTCAACTGTGGCCCAGGCGGCTTTCACTTGTACTCCTGCCTTTCGCAGTGCTGCGTCGACTTTGCGACGCGGCAACTGTGCCTGATCGAGAGAAAAAAGAGATGAGGAACTCAAGCAAAATTATCTTTTTCTATCCTATGTACTTTCTTACGTGTTTTTCTTTGTTCCTCTCTATTATTTTTTGCTTCTGGAGCACGCTGAAAAAATATGACTCGCACCTCGACTATGTGGTCTCGGCCAGCGAAGGGAGTACCCCTCAAAGAAGCCCGGCCAAAAAAGACAATGTCCCGGATGAAGAATGACCCATGGTCCTAAACAATATTTGCATGACGAGCAAAAGCTCAAGAAACTCTACAACTTTGCTATCAGAAGTACAATGAAGAACACGCTGAGCCATTGCTCAAGTGCTCATAGAAGCCTCAGGGCGTAGCATTCTTTGGTAGTCCGAAGCCCACAGCCTTGGCACAAGCTTCTGGCCCTGCATTACTTAATCTCTGACTCGAAGTTACTCCTGGTTCTAGTTTGATGTAGCCAAGCTCCTCTCTCTCTCTCTCTCTCCCCCTCTATTCTCACTCCTTACTCTTGCTTTATATATATATATACTGTGCAATTTCATTGGGTCGACATGCTCGCTTGTCAGAGCGTGTACTCCACGCCAGTCTCGGTTCAAAGAAGGCTCCTGCACTTTCCATCGTTCGTGGTCGCTTCGCCACCACTTTTAGGAACTCTTGCTTTCGAGCCATAGTACTTGGGTTCGGTGAGCTACCACACCTCCGCTGACCACTTGCATGGTAGCGGAGCCCTCCGGGGCTTGAGAAAAAGGAGACAAGTCAGGTTCTGCACGGCCGATCCTGATCGAAGTGGTCATGGGAGACGGAATCACCAGATCCAAAGATGGGGTGCCACAATGGGACGGCGACTCACGGTCGTTCCAGGAGTATGAGGAGATGTCATTACAGTGGGAACAGGGCATTCCTACACACAAGCGATACCTATGTGGACCTCGCTTGATGCAGGACAAAGGGCTGCATCCTCAAGTACCTGCACTACATGGCATCGACCACACCAGTATCAGAACTGGTGGACAGCCCGGGACCAGAACTCCACACCACAACCATCAGCGGCTTCACAGGCATCCGCCAGGGACAAGATGATGACTTTCACGACGCCTCCGAGGGTGGTTTTGATCCATGGAAACTCTGGTCAGAGTCATGGTACACGGCCACACCATACCAGGAAGATGAGCAATGGACACAATCCACCACAGAGCTGCTTCCAGATTATCTCCAAGGCTGGTATCTCCTGCATGATGCAGGACTTGACAGCCATGAAAAGAATATGATCCAGACGGCAGTGGGCAATACTTTTAGCACTACGCGCATTTCTCAAGAACTCCGAGCACAGTGGCCGAAAGACGAATTGATGAAGCGAGATCAAGCCCACAAGCACTCCAGCTTCTGGAACCAAGATGACATCTCTGAGGGTGAATCTTCAATGCAAGAGCCGCAAACCACAGCGACCGCTCTGATGAACGAATGACGAGGGCATTGCTCTGATGGCATCCGCTGTGGAGGCCGAAGAGACGGGCATGGCGGCACTCCAACAAGCTCGCCGATCCCTGAAAGAAGCAAGGGCCAAGCAACATCAAGTGAAGATGAGCCGACAGTACTACAAGATCACCACCTCCGACAAGTCTCGTCCAGCAGGTGACTCAGCAGGAAAAGGGTGCATGAAATGCTTTCGACGCGGCGGTCCTCACAAGATCGCCAACTGCCCTGACCGGGCGGAACCATCTCGACATGAACAAGGACATGTAGCACAAGAAGAGGCACCCTTCGTCTGCTACGCCGAAGCAGCCACAGAAGCGGTGACCCTCTTTGCAGACGACGCCTACCTGGCAGAGACAGGGGCTACCAAGAGCCGAAAAAGTACGGAACAAGCCATTGCTGAAGGCTATGGCATCGTCGACGGAGGAGCCACGAAAACGCTGGGCTCAGTCTATGCCATGGAAGCCTTAGTCAACGCCAACCTGCGAAAGCACCAAGATGGAGGAGTCTTGGAGGTGGATGTCAACAACCAGCCAGTATTGGGACTTAGCAATAGCAGCCGCAACAAGTGTTTGAGCACCGCCAAGATTTGCGCAGGCGATCCCTAGCGTGCGATCTTTTTGCCAGGAGCAGGGACAACTCCTTCCTTCCGCTTTGCCTGAGGAGGAAAGGAAGGGCCAGACACATGTTCAGGCACCGGGGTCACCCTCACATGAAGAAGGTATGGGGAGAAGGTTTTTTGGGGGAGAGGTTGGTTCGGTTTTGTTAGGGGAAAATAACAAACAAGAAACCAACTCACAAACCGAGCGACGGCAGCCAAGCAGTAGCCACTCAGATCAAGCGCCAGGTGATCTACCACCGGATTCTAGCCCGCAACTTAGTCTCGTCACGACTTGGTGGAGGCCATCCGGGCCTTGGGGGAGGAACCCCCAACCAAATGGACGAACTCGGAGCTCCGGGTCCGTCTTCAAGAACTCGAGGAGGAGAAGGGCATCGTCAGAGCCCATGGGAAAGTGCGCACCAGCCATCAGTCCTGGATGGTTCGCTTGGGAAAAGCCAACAAGAAGAAGAACGACCTCGTCGTCTTTTGCCAGAACGACCTCCAACTTCACCTGGAATGGACCGAAACCGTTCCACAGCTGGAGAAAAAGGCAGTGGAAAAAGATCTATGCGATCTCCGAACCGGACGGTCGCGATCCAATGGGCTTCGGGGCGCACTCCCAACTGTCCTACGCAGGTGTTCGAGGAACACCCCAGCGGCAGTCCGCACAATGATGGAAGGCTCACGCCACCCTCGTCTCGAGCGTTTCGCTCATTGGCGCCAATCCCAGAAGGAGAAGAACGAGGAACTCCTGCCAGAGATTCAATATGTGAAGAAGAAGGGCATGACCTCCACCAGCGACAAGGGCATCAGCAAGGTCACATCGGGCTACCCTTCGAAGCCCAAGGCCAAGTCAGCTCCGGCAGCCTCGGGTGCAGATCTGAGCGATGTTGAAGATGATGGACACCCTCACGACTTTGAAGGAGGATGTCGAGGCACTCAAAGAGGAGCGCCCACACAAGAAGAAAGAGAAGTCCGAGGACGACTTCACCATGGTGTCGGAGATGGTGTCGGAGGCCACCGAAGCCTAGATCTGAGTGAAACACCGAGCACAGCTAAGGTTTCGACATCTCTAGGACATTTCATGGAACAAAACATAGGACAGCAAGTTCAAGATTTGGTTCAAAAGAAAACTATTTTGTTGGAAGTTGCATGTGCTCCTACTAGCGTTCTCTCCCAAGTTGTTCAGCAAAGTGCTGGATACCCAGAGGCGGCCTCGACCAAGTTGACTTATTGAAACCTCAACATGTCTGGATCAGTCCCATCTGTGGGCCGTACTCCCCGCTTCAGTCTATAAACCAAAGGACGCCTCAGCAAGTGGAAGAACTGGAAGAAAAACGGCGAGACGCTTTGAAACAATACATAGGAGCTTCATGTATCTACCAATACTGTTTTTCAGCATGGTTTCCATGTTACATGGGAGTGGGCACAGAGATGTCAAGCATGGCGCTTACCATTCATGCAAGAGTTGATGAAATGTTTGAAACCATATATAGCTGTCGTGCAGGGTTGTCGAGTGAATCTGCGGTGTACAAACACACATGCTCTGATGTCCAAAGGATGGAAAATCATGACAACCCACGACTTGCCGAAAAGATGTCTTTGCCCTGCCATTGCCCTAAGGGATATCAACATGGAAAGTGCGAAGGAGGCCAAGCTGGTAAAACTGCCTACTACACACCCGAAATGGCCAGGAAAATCAACAAAGCGATCACCCTGGAGCGCACTCAATGTAGCCTACAAGAAGAGCTGCAAGGGAACACATGTTTACTCGCCGGATTCCATGACGGTAGGTACTGTGTGTGTGTGAGCATCTGAAACACCATGGTCATGTGTGGTGCATGTACACAGAGCACACAAACACACAGCACGCGTACCACAAGGGCACATTGCGAGAGTCATGTTGCAACCGCATTCGCCGGTCGGCATTTCGAGTCGGAACGTGAAGAGAAGATAAAAGAGAAATTGTATTTGTTACACGCGGCAACGGGGCATGGAAGCACACGACATCTCGTCAGGGCTTTAGAACAAAGGGGGGCTAGTGAAGAGGTTATCCAATTGGCTAAGGATTTTAAATGTTCCATTTGTCAAGAGTCTCAACGGTTGAATCATCGTCACCTCGCTTCGCTTGAACCCCTTCCTCCCAAACTGGCCACGATCAGTGCTGATGGGGGAAAATGGACCAACCCCCATAGTTTGGAGGAGTGTGAATTTGTTTTGGCGAGTGATGAAGGAAGCCGGTTTCGCGTGGCTCGCTTGACCAAGCATGGAAAACACCAAACCATGTCAGCTGCAATTTTCCTCAATTTCATGCGAGAAGCATGGATTCAGTACTTTGGTGCCCCGCACACTTTGCGGGTAGATCCCGGCGATGCTTTTAGAAGCCATGAGCTCGAGCGATTCTGTGATGACCACGGCATCTTTTTGGATGTAATTGCAGGAGAAGCACATTGGCAATTGCGCACATATGAGCAGGCCATCAAAGGCGTCAAAGAAGTCATGACCAAGTTGAGCCAGTCAAACCCCGACCTGACCGCAGAGGCCTGTTTAAGTGAAGCTGTCCGGGTCTTCAATCATCGGGAGATCATCAGAGGTTTTTCGCCAGTCCAGCACCTTCTCGGAAAGGCACCGGATGCCACAGGCCGGTTTGTGAATTGCTTGAACGGGGAACCACCTCAAGAACTGTTGAACAATCCCAGTGAAGAGATGGAGACAAGTATCAACTTGATGAAAGAAGCCGAACAGGCTTTGTCAGAATGGCAGGCCGACCAGCGGATTGGGAGAGCTCTCAACTCTCGATCACAACCACAGAGTGACCACCGACCAGGAGACCTCGTCTATTTCTGGCGGAAGCAAGTGAAAAACAAAGAAGTGGGGAAGAATGGCACCTTTTTGGCACCTGCTCGCGTATTGCGCACAGAAACCAAACGGGATGCGCAAGGCAACCTTGAAAAAGGGTGGTCTATTTGGTGTGTTCGAGGACGTCGGCTTCTCAAGTGTTGTGTAGAGCAACTGCGACCAGCCACATTCAGGGAAGAACTCGTCGAGCACCTTCGAGACCAACCAGAACCAGAGGCACCTTGGACCTTCCCCCGAATTGTGAATGAGTTGGGTGGCAACGAATATGAAGACATGCTCCAGACCTAGCAGAATGGCACAGAGCACAAGATCCACACGTTGCACAGCCCATGGAGGTGAGTGACACACAAGATGAGGACACACCTCGTCTACCACAGCCTCACCTTCGCCACCGGTACAAACGATCGGTGGGGTCAACCATGGTAGAAAGCCATCCCAAGTTCAGTCGAACATCACACCTCACTTCTCAAGCCAGAGAGGGCGAACACTCCAGCAGTTCCAGTGGCCACCACCAAGGATGGTGGACTCAAGTCCAAGAAGAACACAAAGTAACCACCCCAGAAGGTGTCTCCTTCTGGGCTGATGAACAAGCGTGTGTTGAGATTGAGATAGCCTTCCCAGAGTCACGACAGGGTATGCAAGCAGCAATAAAGAATCTCGAGGCTTACTTCACAGGGGCACTACAGCGACGCCAAGTAGAAGTACATGAACATAGGCTTTCACCACAAGAACGTAAAGAATTCCAGGAAGCAAAGGGGGTGGAAGTTACAAACTTCTTGTCAGCCAAGGCCTTTGAGGCCCTACCACCAGAACTGCGCCAATCAAGTAATCGGCATGCGCTGGCTGCTCACTTGGAAGCTCAAAGATGATGGAACATACAAAGCAAAGGCCAGGGCCATTCTGAAGGGCTATCAGGACCCAGGCTATGAGTTTCGCGCTACGACCACACCTGTCATGACACGCCACACCCGTCAATGGCTGCTGTTCATGGCTGCCAGGAAAAACTGGCAGGTGAAGAAGGGGGACGTCCGTCACAGGCGCCTTTCTCCAGGGGCGTGAGTATCCCACGCCTTTGTACTGGCCACCCTGCAAAGAAATCACCGATGCCATGGGTTTGGCACAGGGCGACATAGTCCGCGTCAAGCGCGGATGCTATGGACTGGTCGATGCACCACTAGAATGGTACAGAACCATTTCCGAATACTTGGAGACACTTGGCCTAGTGAAATCCTGGGCTGACCCCTGTTGTTGGCTATGGAAGCCAACCAATGAAGTGACAGAAGGAACGATCGCCGGGCGCGTAGACGACTTTTTATTTGCTGGACCCAAAGAGGACCAGCGCTGGAGATCTTTAGAGCAGAAGATCAAGGATCGCTTCAAGTGGTCTGATTGGGAAGAAGGAAAGTTTGTACAGTGCGGTGTACAGGTTGAGGCCACCTCAGAAGGTTTTGAACTTTCCCAACCCACATATCTTGATAAAGTGAGTGAGATTAATTTGTGCGCCTCCCGACGCCGAGAGAAGAATTTGCCCACCACTGAGTGGGAACGCACAAAGCTTCGAGCAATCTTGGGAGCGTTGAGCTGGCACGCACAGTATCTCCACACCTATCGGCCGAGGTAGGACTTTTGTTGTCTGAAGTCACAGCCAGTACAGTGGACACCATCGTTCAAGTGAATTCCCTTTTACAGAAAGCAAAAGCCCGATCAGATCACAAGCTCAAGATCCAAAGGATTCCAGAGCATGTGCCCATCGGGCTATTCGTGTGGGCCGATGCCTCCGGTCAAAACAGAAGAGATGGCAGCAGCACTCAAGGACTGTTTGTAGGTGTGGCACCACACACTTTGTTGGAAGGAGCTTTTGAAACGGTTGTCCCCATTGCTTGGCACGCCAACAAAATCGACCGAGTAACTAGAAGTCCCGGAGCTGCAGAGGCAAGCGCAGTCATCAACGGCCAAGACCTTCTTTTCCATGCGAGATTTCAATATGGCGAGTTCATGCACCAACCAAACATATATGATGTTGATAACACTGTGAATCAAATCAGCGGTTGTGTCGTTTCGGATTCGCGCAACATGTTTGCCAAACCCCAAACTGAGGAACTCAGCGTGAACGGTGCTGAACGTCGAACAGACATAGAAATGTTATGCTTGAAGTCCGCACAACGCCATAATCAGGTCATGATACGGTGGGTACACTCTGAGGCACAACTTGGCAACGCCCTTACCAAAAGTGGAGCTAAGGAATTGGAACTCTACTACAAGTCAAAACAACGATGGCGCATCGTGAGTGACGACTACATGCGGTCTACGCGCAAGCGGAAACAGCAAGGAATTAACACCTTTGAACATACCTCTAAAGGTGATTCGGTGGTGGTGATGGGTTCGAACCCGGAAAAATTTCAGTGAGGAGGGATCCCGGGGGATGCAATTTCATTGGGTCGACATGCTCGCTTGTCAGAGCGTGTACTCCACGCCAGTCTCGGTTCAAAGAAGGCTCCTGCACTTTCCATCGTTCGTGGTCGCTTCGCCACCACTTTTAGGAACTCTTGCTTTCTAGTTGAGCCATAGTACTTGGGTTCGGTGAGCTACCACACCTCCGCTGACCACTTGCATACTGTATATACAAAATTACGTGGTTTCTGGCCGCACAGTTTGCACTCCTAACACCTACTCTTGGAGCATTGGCCTTCGGGAAGCTCGCCAGTCGTGCTGAGAAGAAACGCTTCTCGGGAAAATTATCAAGACCTGCCAAGAGTTCTACGAAAAAAGGGGTCAGTCTGAAAGAATGATTTGTGCTAGTGGGTCTGACAGATTCCATCTGCCTGCATGAAGATATCTCTTGCCGTCCTGTCCAATAAAGCCTGGAGCAAGCATTTTGCCAAATGACATGCATGTCTCAATGTCAACGCTGGGTAGCCGAACAAGCCATCCAGAAGACACTATGACGTTCACAAGACCAAGGTAGCGGCCTTGAAAGACAAGGTTCGTAAGAAAAAAATGTGAAACGAAGAACGTAAGGGCCTCTTTAATAGGGAGACCTAATTATTAAAGAGGCCCTCCTCCAAACGCAATTGCTGAGAGGTTCCACTTGTCCGTTCCTGCCTCCATTTTGCATCAGCCAGTTTAAGGCAGCGCGAGAATCGGAACTCCCACTGCCTCTGGTCAAGGCAGC